TTTCCGAACAATGAATTATCATGAAAATAATAATGGTGTTTTTTTTTCATTATTCACTATTCATAAACTCGCTTAGTTGTTTTGCCTATTCTCCATGCCCGAGTTCAGTTTGTAAGCTTTTTTTATCCATAAAAGTATGTATCTGATACTTTTAAAGTAAGTTACTTCTTGAAGTGAATAATCACGAGCAGTTGAATGATTGAATATTCAATACATCATTGAGAATAATATACAGGGAGGACCAGTGCAAGCAAAACAAGAACAATTTCTCACAGATGGCTTCGGGAAAAAAATCGCACGAATCGACGATTTTCATTCTGAGGAGAAAACCTTTTGCGTCTTTTATCAACCTTGTCATTTGAATTCCCTCAGAAGAGTGAAATCCAATTCCCACATCTTACATGGGGTCAGGGGTCAAGCAATGCAGATTCAGATGATGCCATCAATTTTTCTTTTCAACGCTTTCCATTTTTTGAAATTTGATTGAGTAGTTTCTGAGAAGAAGAAAAACATTAGTAAAATATTTGGCGATAGAGGAACGTAATTTTTCATGTTCAATACTAGTAATACTACTACTTTCACGTCCTTTTTACAAATGACTCTGATCTGCTCTGCAATTTGATGCTGGCAATCGAAAACTAAACCCAGTTCTTGTCGATCTACCTTTAAAAGTATTCATAATTTCATTTATCTATATTTAATGCACTCCTCACTCACATATTCCGATTGTGACTATTTCGAGTTATAATCAAGCTCAAAATAGTTGATTCAACTACAGAAAGAGTATCGATAATTGAACTTTTCGATGGAAATAGTAGCTGCGCTAATACTACAGCACAGTTGTTCAATGTCAAAATTCCGGATTGGGCTCGTCACCAAATGAAGAGAGACGCAATGGAAGTTTGGAGTGTATACATGATGAAATGGTACTGGATATATCTCATAACTTATCAGGAATTCGATTCGCCCCCTCTTCATGTAGTCAGGGACCTGAAGCATTTTAATGACCTTGGTTTGATTTTTGATGAAGTGACCAGAAGCCACCCAGCAGGTATTCGTTCGAAATAGAGCGTCCACATAGACCGCAGTGACCACTTCAATTTCTGGGTCTACTCATGAATAGATGAAATTTTCACCAACATCGAAGAACTTGGCTTTTCCTAGCCTTGGTATAGATCAAGTGGGCTGAAGTAGAAGACGGAAAAATCCCCGTGGCCCATCAGGATTCAGTTTCTTGGTCTACCGTGGAGGAAGTCCAGTACGCTTTTGCTGTCGGCATTCCCGACCATCACCATCTCCAAAAATCAATAATTTTCATTTCTTGCTCTCACACAAGCTGATAAACCTCCACTATTGAAGTCAGAAAATATTCTTTAATAAGATGAACATGCTGAAAATGAAACAGGAACAAATTAGATTTAGTTCTTGAACACCACAGGGTCGACCTTGATCATTCTGGTAAACTGGTTGATATGATCGAAGAATGCTTGATAGAAAGATGTTTCTCCAATCACATGGTCGTATTGCAAATATAGAATGGTCTCATTCTCAGCTAATTGGTTCACCATTCTTGGACCCAATGATCACTTAGCCCCTTTGTACGACAAGACATTAATGCTGGTGGCGACTCCTTTGGATGTATCAAAACTTTGGGTGAACGGCCTGACCTTGGAGCCCTTTTGAGGTTAGAAAAATTGTCTTAATTTCTTTCACTACAATTTGATTACACCATAAGTGAAGTAGGCATTCACCATTGTTGGGCTTTTGGTATATGTCGAGTTTGAAGACAGTTTGAAATACCATCAACATTTCTACATCTTCTCGTCAAGTTAATTTTGAAACAAATACGAAACAGCACTTTTCCAAATAGAATACATATAGAATGATCATCAATGGAAAATTTCAACTAGCATTTCTTGATATGACTAATAAGCAGTCCGTGCAAAGCTTATTGTTAAAACATCTGAAAATGGAACTTTTAACAGGTGATGATCGAGTGCATTGTCAAACATGCGCCGAACTAACTGAATGTTATGAGATAACAAGTTTTCTTGCAGCTGAAAAAGCAAATGCGCCACTGCAATCGCTGAAGTCGCCCCGGAGCGCCAATTGAATTTTGTTGTTGTTTCATAATTCTAATGTTTTGCAAGTTAAATAAAAATTATTATAGTTAACATGACGAAAGACATGAGTTTCAATATTTCAAAGATGGATATTTCTGATTGAAGCCGTTTATTGTAATACGTGAGTTTATTATTAAAACAAAACTGGTTGACAAATACGGCGTTCAATTAAAAAAAAACGGTGATGACAATCAATTTTCGAAAAAATGACTTGATCTTCAACGTATTTATTTATTGTATGTTGTATATATATTTTTAATTTCTTCATAGTATCAAATGTAGATTATATTATTTATGTGATGGAAACTGTTTTACAAAAATGCAACACGTGTTTCACTATATAGTAGCTATTTCAGGCGTGTCTATACTCCATAGAGTCTATACTATATACACGCCTGAAGAAGTTACTGTATAGTAAAACACGTGTTTCATTTTATAAAACTATGTAGTGAAATTCTCATGTTATTGATATATAAGATATTCTGCTAGCAGTAAAGGAAAAGAAAAAACACTAGTATTCGTAACAATTTATTAAAATTAGGTACATATAGAAAATAAAATTATTCGTGAAGTAAAATATCACTTACATTAAAAACTTATTAAATATTTTCCCCACTCTCTGCATCCAACCCCAATTCATGATACAAAATAAATCACTGATGTCAAACTGTCAGATGTCAGATCCGTTTCTTGTTGAACGTTTATAATGACAGTAATAAAACTGGTAATCATAATGATGATGATAATGCAGATAGGTAATATTTTGAATGTTATTCTCATGAATATGTTGCTTCAGGGTCGGTTTGAATTCACTTATTTTTATTCAGGTGTGTTGGAAGTAGGTTGTACAGTATACGCCCGAAGAAGAAAACTAATCTTTGTGTATGACTTTTTTTTCAAAGAGCGGAATTTTGATATGCAAGTTTCCGACTGATCTTGTCGTTTTGTGGGCAATAAAACTGAATTTCTGAATATTCAAGAACAACCATATTGAACAGTGATAGCTGTGTAAGCTTTTTGAGATTTCGAGTCTTCAGAACTTCTATGTAATATAGGATTCAAGATGAAGCAGGAAGACGCCGAGGATATTGAAACTTTTTTCTTTGGACATTCACAACAAACTTTTCCTCCACTCTTCCTATTGATTGATTGATTGATATGTGCCGAGACGGTGATAAATTTTTTTTCCTCGTTCAAAGACAATCATTGATTTATTCTGTGATAGGTCTTTGTATTGGCCAAAAGTACAATGTATATATTTTCTGTTATTGGATATTTTCACATCTGTTGGAATTAAATATCTATCTATCTGAAAAAAGCCTCTACCTAAAAAATTTAGTCTACCACATCTCTTTGTCATTCAACGTTCAGGTGACAATTATTTTTTCGAATACGTTAATGAGTGATAATAACATTCAAAAAAATTTTTTTTCGAAATATCTAATTCCTTGTACTAATGTAGCAGGGTTTGGAAGAAACTATGAGTGCTATAGTATTTCCAATACCAATTGGAACAGCAAAAAATAATATGCCAACATAGGCGTCGGCATATTATTTTTCAGTGGTAGTTTTTCAGTTACTGATTCTTACAATCATAGCAATTTATCACCACATGAAAAAGTTATCTCAACTGAATTTCTCCACCACGGGTAATTATGAAAAACTTGTAAATTCAAGGTAGTTGATTTCCGAGTCGAAAACTCTAAAATACGACGGAAACACAAATAATCACACCGAGTTCTCGTCAAACATATATTTACAAAATAATAGAGGCCAACAAAATTGCTAGAAAAATCAAAATTTTTTTTCGCTATATTCGGATGAGGTGGAATCATCATCGGGTTGAATAACGATCGGATTTATGGAACTTTGCACATAATATTTGTTCTCTTCTGCTATAACGTGGGCCACATAGTTCTTCCATACATCACTATTACCTACTTCATTCACTACTCGCCTTATATTGTCAAGCACTACAGCATTCAAAGTCGGTGACTGATTACATTTCCGCAAGCTTTCTTTCATTGTGGCCCAAACCATTTCAATTGGATTGAACACACAATAGTATGGAGGCAAACGTAAGAGAATATGACCACGTATTTCAAACATCGAATCAATAATATACTCTGTTTTGAAATTACGTTGTTTTATGGTCGCCAGTAATACCTTTTTCGTTGGAATCTTTTCGGGTATTTCCATGTCATGATTTCGCATAAAATCAACAATATCTGCTTTTTTGTGTTATTGTTTGGTATTGTAGTCAATAACCGAGAATGATACGAAGCGTTATCCATAACAATAACCGAGTTTGGAGGAATATTTGGGAGAAGCTGCTCACTGAACCAGGGTTTGAATAAAGTCGCAGCCATATCTTCGTGGTAATCATCAGACGAATCTTTTAAATTTTTGGCCGACAGAAGCAAAGCGTTAGGTACGAAACCACTTTCATTCCCGGCATGCAAAATTATAACACGTTTTCACCTTGAAGAAGGTGTGTTCAAAGCACAATACTTGGTTTCGTCTACCCAGCCATATTTGATAAATTAGTATTCAGCCAGTGCAGCTAGCCGAGCCTTTACTCCTCAACTACATTTGATAGCACGTTTACTAATTATCTGGGCGACTAGGGGCCACATGCAAGAAATGTTTATGACTGTACTCATCTTTATATTGCCGTTCCAATTGGGAATGGATAGACTATACCAGTTGAATTGTTGTTACAACAAAATCTCACTGAGTCATATAACTTTGGAACTTGATGAATTTCATATCGGCTATGTTTCAACGAAACGACAATACAAGCTGGACACAATTAGGGAGTGGCATCCCGATATATCGATAACTAGTTAGTACACCGAAAGTTGGTGACGTGACCATTTCCTTCATTCCTAATTATGGAACTCTACTGTCTTTCATGATCTTAACAGCGAAATAACTCACTTTACAGAGTATAGTCCTATCTTTTTGACTTTCCCTCTGCATCTCAACTCTGAAAGCTCCTTTAGGACCTCTAACTCTAACAGTGAGTTGTCCGGCTCCTGCTCCCCGCGTGTCGCAAATGAATCGCGACTGGAATGTTGCTAAAACTCCATGTTCTACACCTGGACCGTACACCCGGACCTGAAATCGTCAAATTGTTATATTAAGATGATTTGGTGAATGTGGATGTATAAAGACATCTGCAGTTTCATCAGAAGTAATTTAAATCTCACCTTGCTGGGATCTGGAGCTCCAGCCACTCTCAAAGTGAAGGGTGATCCGGGAACGTGTTGACCAGCATACTTGATGGTGAGTGCATGTCTTCCTGACTCTTGAGGCTTGACGTTCAGCGTGAAAGTTGCATCTCCATGGTCATAAAGTTCACAATATGCCACTTTTTTAGGGCCAGTGCAGTGCGCCGTCAGTTCTCCGGGACCAGCCCTTCTTGTGTCTATCCAGGATCTGATTTCTCGTCCTACTACTCCTTGTCGAAGGCCTTCTCCAGAACAGAGTACCTTTGAACATTATGTTGATTCAAACAGTCGAACCAAAACATTTTTGTTTCAATTTTGATTGATGATTTCCGAAATTATTTTCGCAATATTATTTAATAAGTACCCAGTGGAGAAAAGTAAAAGATACCTTGGAAGCATCTGCTCCTCCTTTGGCTTCTACTATCAGAGGACATCCTTTGACTAGCCTACCTGCCCAAAGTACTGACAACAAATAGTTTCCTGGAATCGTTGTCGTATAGGCAGCTTTCCAGATTTTGTCTCCTGCTAGGCTGATCATAACGGGAACAGGGATGTTGGTATCTGCAGCATGCAAGGTCACTTCCGGGTTTCCTAAAAAAACGTTACGGATGTTAATTTAGACGTTGTTGATCATATTTGAGAGTTTCAAGTGTGGACTCGTATGAAAAGAAAGGAAAATTCGAAATGACTGTGGAAACTGAATGTGGAAAGACTATAATGAATGGAATGACAAAAAAGAATCGCGAAGAATAAAAACTCAAAGTCGTTTCCACAATTTATTATTAAGTAAAAACTACGAAAGTTTGTCACATCATATCCATAAAAGATTCTTCCCAAAAAATGATTCTCTCCTAATAATATACCCCTTCTAATTCAAGGTTTATCTCATTAAGACCAATGTTTTATTCTCAAGATTCTTCGACTTGACACTTTACTGGCGTCTCGAAAGAGAATGCAAGATCAATCTGCTTGTATGTGATTCCACTATTCGCAGAATAATGGTATTTGCATTCATAATATTTATTCTAGTCCAGGATAATTGAGAATCCGAATCATTTTGATGTGAACTGGTTACCGAGATTGTTCGATTTGGCCCCGTTAGACTTTTTCTTGTGGGGTATATGCCAATAAGCTAAAAACCACATCGATCCTCAAAGCCAAAACAACCCATACCATTGGTGATTTATGCGCTAGAGTAATGAAAAATGAACGTTTTGTTACGCTTCACCCAGATATCTCACACATACTTTGTTTCATTTGAATTTGAAGATGGGAAGCGCCTAATTGAAGACCCTATAATAATGTTGTATGTAAGAACTGTAGACCAGTGTGTAATATTAATTTCTTCCGAGGAAGCCACGGTGTTAGCGAAACTTGCCTAGTAAAATTGTGTTATCATAATCATGGATAATTCTATAATAAACTAGTTGTTGTCCGCGTCTTCGCCCGCGTAGAATTTGGTAGTTGTAGTACTAATTAGTACTATGTTGCTGAATCGCTGCTGTTCAAATGTTTTGACAAAATCAGAATCAACGAACTTAGGCGTGCGCAGCGTTATAGAATAGTGCTTTAAAAACATTGTTCTTCAGTGCCATCTAGTGGCGAGTTATAGAGAAATTGATAGCTTCAAAACCTTCCCTTTGAAAAATTACTTATACATGTCAAGTTTCATCACGATCGGTTGAGCGATGTAGAAGTTTATCACTTACCAACCAACTAACCAACAAACATCCATTTTCATATATTGGATTCAAGTTCTATCTATCAATATATATAACCTCTAGGACGAATTTGTTACCCACCAATCTGAAAACTCATTCTTACCACTGCCAGCTCTCGACCCATCAATGGTGAACACAGCCGGTTCTCTGCACTGCGCATGCGCCAATCCTAATCCAGTAAGAACCACTTGATCCCCAAGACAAGCGACAACACTGGGCGCTTCGGGCAATGGTATGTTGGCGAACCTGATGTCGAAATCGTGTTCTCCCGGGCTGAGACCTTCGCCGGATATGTCGAATCGAACCCGAGTTCCGTTTTTGTCGGTGTTCACTTTTCGGCCGGCAATTTTGCACTCCAGAGTGCCCGGACCGGCGTTTGACGTGTCAAAGGCCAGCTTAGCGGGAAGTTTTATGCGTCCGGAATCGTCGAGGTATTGCGTCCAACCTCCGATTAGCCGCACTGCTGATGGGTCGACGATGATGGGTCTGAACGGTGATCCAGGAAGCTGGAAACAATTACGGAATTTTAAACACATGGAGTTGGCTATCACGGTTATCGGCACAATTCGATAATATACAGGGTGTTTCCTACATATACGCTTTTGATATGGTGTCATTTTATCAAACAGATATTGATAGTCTCCGTACCACTATCAACCAAATTGAAGATGGAGCTGAAATATGATACACTAACAATAAGCTTGAATTGCATAGAATGAAAACTCAAACCATTATCGTCTTCAGTCATAATAATATACTTATTGGAAGTTCTGTGAATCTTTTGGAAATCCACTGGATGACTCGTTCAATGGGCTTGTTTCATGATTTTTGATCTATAGTTCACTTGATAGAAATTTTAAATTTAAAAACAGTGCACTTTGTCTCATCTCTCTAAGTATCGTAGTTTTCCCGTAATTAATTATTGAAAATCGAATGTGGTAGGGTGATGACATCACGCCCCTATTCCCGCTTCTTGTTCGATTGACCAATAGGAACAATAGAAATAATCAACATTGCCAAATCATAAAATTTACGAAGCCTATTATCAATTTAATTATGGAAGTGTATATGAACCCGTTAACGTTTCCATTATTGAAAAATTCTCTACATGGAATAAAATGTATACGAAAAATCATGTTTGCAAATAAGTTCTATATCTAAAATCAGTACACAAAGTCGATACATCACAAAATATTTACCTAAACTATGGTTTTATGCATTATTTAATGATATAAAGTTATGAAAATCAAAAAATATAGCAAACTGGATCAAAGAATCATTTCAAATATTCAATTTATTCTTCAATTCTCAATCTGTACAACTGCAATTTATTATAAAAAAAAACGATTCCTACATACACACCTCTTTCTAATATAGCTTCTAAGTTCAAGCGTTATAGGCTCGCTTGGGTAATCCGTTGAATCTTCCAAAACTTTAGGTTGAATGAGGCCAATAATACCATTAATCATATGATGAAATTCAATTAATTTTGTTTCATACTTTCAGTAACAGGATCAACTCCAGATAATACTTTCTGTGGAGAATACCTGCTTGAAGTTGAAATAAAAAACTCTGTCATCAAATTCAATATTTTCGTTCCCCTTTCATTTATAGTCACTTTTTGAATGATTTCTATAAAGTCTTGGAAGAGTAGAAGGATTCTAGTTCTCATTTTTTTCTCATCTCATCAGCTGTATTTTCAGATGGTTTTCGAATGCTCATGAACCCTAATAAAATAAATCAATTATGCATTCATGCCACCCACCAAAAATAAGAAATTCCACGTTACTGGTATATTAGCCATATTGTCATCCAGTCAGCAAGCGCCCTCTGTAGTGTATGCGACAATGTGCTCTTTCTGATGTCAATAGTTTCCACACATAACTTCGTATTTTTGTTAAAATAATTTCAAAATTAATGTTGAGCCTAGTTTTGTTAAAGCTGACTCCGACAATTTTGAAATGATTGATGAATTTTACTTGAAAAATTTGCAATATTTTGGTACCGAAATGAAGAATGAAGAATTGAAACGGTAGGTGGTATATTTAGTAGGTACCTTTTATTTATATGACATTCATTTCAGACTTTGTCTTTTATCGAAGGATGGAAAGTTTTGATATAATTCTTATTTTATCTCGGCCAAGGAGCCATAGCATGAAACAAGCCCATTGGTCTAGTCATAAAAAAATCTATGTGAAGAGGAAGATTAATCTTCCTCTTGAAGATGATCACTTGGTGATCGAAACACGTGTCGAGGTGGTAAAATAACGGTTTGGTTTTGGGGTAAAACTCCAGTAAAATTCATTATTACATCAAAGGTTCCAAACAGTGCATCATAAGTATTTCTATGGATTTAAATGAAATATATAATATAAAAACAGAGGTATGCGAATTATTTTGAAGTGTAATAGATTCACCAAAATATCCCTTCTGTCAAACACACTATACTGTCCATCTAAGCAACGGAGTGCTCCAAAACATTATCATGCATAGTGCACGTGATCTCCCAGAGAAGGCTGTTTGTACAGAGTTGCACTAAGGAACGACCCGATTTTTTTAAAAATATCCGGTTGGGTATAGAACAGTTTTTTAGGTTGAGTGTAGGGACCAGAATTAGCAGTTTCTTCAGCCGTATCAGTACATGACATTTTCAAAATTTTAAACTTTAAAATACCATATATGTTCACACCACAGGCGTTGAAAAGTAACTCACCACTACGACACTGTAACAATGAATTTTGCCAGCCGATTGCAGTTGAATCTGATTGGAGGATTGATTATTTTACCCAATAGATGCAAATGTGCGTGGTGACTATGCTTTGATTACGCATCTATCTTTGTTTGGGTAACTTTGTTTGTTGGATGGATATGGTTTACAAAGGTTGTATCTTACCGAATTTACAAAATACAAGTGATTTTTATTTTCAGAATAAATGCATATCTTCAAAAACTGACAAGTAAAAACACGGTTCATGATCATCATAACACTAGACGTGCCACAAATATGTATTATTGGCTGTATATTATGGTGACCAGAGTAAATGAGAGTCTTCTTACTACTAGTACTTACGTCATTTGGACCAATACTGATGATGATATCGTAACTACCAACCCACTTCGGCGTATACGTAATCGTATACTCGCCTGGCTTCGTGGTCTGTATCTGCACATCGATATTACCCTCAACGGCTTCGACAGTCACCCTCGGTTGCACAACGCTGCTCACGGTGAAAGACGTCCTCTCTCCCACTCGTCCCACCTCTAGCCCTTTTCCAACGGCCCTCGGGGGCGGCGTCGGACCCACAGGACCAACCCCTAGCGCCAGAGGGGACCCCTTCACCGGGACACCTCCGTAAGTTACGACCACTTGGTATAGGCCCGCTAGAGTTGGTAGAAACATGACTTGGACGAGTTTGTCATCTATGGGGGTTTGGTGGACGGTTAGGGTCTGGTTGATGGGGTTGCACACTTGGATTTCCAGTTCAGCCGAGCCGCAGTTCTTGGAAGAAACTAGTAAAAGATAATTCTTTTTTTTATTTATCCGATACAACTATAAAATACGAAGTTGAGGAACAGTTTTTCAACTGATACAACAAAATACAAAATGAATACCAAAAACGTAAAAACTATGGATGTGAAAGAGATGGGATGAAATCAAAAGATGCAATCTTGCCAGGATCACCCTGGGAAGCCGGGCGACCCTGGGAAGCTGGCGCCGAAGAAATATCTGGCGATAACCAGGAAAACTCTACGCTTAACAGTAGGATTTCTGACTAGCCACTGTCAACTAAGGAAACACCTCCAAAATATAGGGTTAGTGGACACACCTCTATGAAGGATGTGTGAACAGGAAGATGAAACTGTCAGGCATGTCCTATGCGAGTGCCCGGAGTTATCGTCGATAAGAGAGTGTGTGTTCGGCGAGTGTTGGCCTACACCTGCCAATATAAAGGAGATGTCTCCCAGAGATCTGTCCACTTTCCTGGAAAGGGCAGGATGGACGATGACCCAGGAGGACAACCCTTGGGAGGATGTACAATGGGTCACATGTGGCCTAAATGCTGTGGACTTACAATCACCCTCCCTACTCTACAGATACAGATACAGAACTATGGATGTAGTGTTACTGTAGCTGGAAGCCCACATCACTTAGGCTGTGGCTACAATCACCCTCCCTACTCTACAGATACAGATACAGAACTATGGATGTAGTGTTACTGTAGCTGGAAGCCCACATCACTTAGGCTGTGGCTACAATCACCCTCCCTACTCTACAGATACAGATACAGAACTATGGATGTAGTGTTACTGTAGCTGTAAGCCCACAGCCTAAGTGCTGTGGGGTCTCCCAACAGGGACTTCCTAAAATCGTGCGATTTGACCTAATGGGATTTGATCTAGTCGGATTTTGTTAAGTCGCAGATGTATGAAAATAAGCCACAAACCACAGCGGTCCTGAAAGCCATAACCCTTGCCATCGTTCAAATTCAGCCTGATTTATGCTCCAAAGTCATGGAAAATTGGACGTTTCGGATGAGCTCTATCCAGAGAAGCTGTGGCGAATCAATAGGTCGTTGAAAGGAATAAAAAGTTTGATGATATCTTAAATGGACTTTGTTTCATTTGAATTCAAAGAGGAAGCATTTAATGAAAGACCCCATATAAATATTACAAATACAAATTCAACTGCTATCAAGCAAAAGAATTAATTCGTTTTCAATATTATTACACTAACAGCTGAAACTTATTTTGGAACTAATTATCGTTCCTTTATATTGAGTAATTGTATAGAAAAAAAATTAGTTGAATGAAACGTTATTTCAAGAATCTCGTTCAAGATATGTAGACGCTAACTTGGTTGACGTCTGTGGAGTTCGAAGAAAACATCTCGATATTTTATTCGTTTTGCCTCTTCTTTCCGGACGATATTGGTTTCGCCGGTAGCTGAGAACTTCACGACGAGTATCGTTTTGCCCTGATGGCTGAAAATAACCACATCAGGCTCATTAGCTAGAACCCACAATGGCTCCTTGAACGTGATCCGGGTTCATCGGGTTATGCAGTTTATTAGCTCAGACTGTCGGAGCTCTCCGCTGGAAGCTTCGAAACTGCGTTAGGGATGGGCTGCGGGTATTCACGAATTTCTTTCCAGAAAGAATCCATCTGATCAGCAGATGGCGGATTATCCATCACACCCGGAGGCTGTTGGAATAAGCGAGATGGTGTTTTTGAATTATTGTATAGGTGACATTATTACAGTTTTCTAGTTCACTATTTCATTATTTTGTATCTTTAGTTTTTGATCCCTATTCACAAGCATTTAGTATTTGTTGGAATGATAATTCTCACCATTAAAGTACACCTTATCTCCGACATTGCCTTGCGAAGAAGGAATATCAACGATTCGTACATTATCAGGATCGAAACTGTTACAGGTGAAAGGACTGCCGTTGAGATGCTTGCCTTGGTGGAGCACCTCCACCTTGTGCGGACCTATTTCCCTCGTTGTGAACTCTGCTTGGAGTTTTCCAGTCTTGGTCTGATAACATCTAACAGGAACGGCTGAGCCTGTCGGACCGCTGACCACTACGTCGAACTCTCTTGCTGATCTACCCAACGTTTCGATGTGGAAGGAGTTCACTTTGCCTACCTTTGCCTGATATAAACCTGAAAAAATTTGGATGATACTTCAACAGTTTTCTTTTTCAACATGAAGATTGTAATACTGTTGGCCATCAGGATCATCAGATAGTAGTAGATTACAGCCGTTTCTGGGCCTTCCCCCACCATATTTGTAATCGGACTCACCTAATCCACCAGACCAAGGTTCGTTGCCTGGACCTTTAACTGGTACTTCTAAAACTCCAAACTTAGGCACTCCATTATAAAACAGCGTGATTCTATGAGGTGCAGCGTGAATTGGGTGAAACACAACTTCCCACATGTTGGAATTGGTAGGACTCTGTCTCACACTATGTGCTACATCTCTGTTGGCAACCTGAAATTGAAGAATTTATGAAATGTAAACTTTATAGAACAATCAAGAAAATACAGCTAGTTCTTCCAACAAATATATTGAGAGGTTATGTTCTTGAAATAACTCTCAACTCCCGTGGGTTGGGCTACCTATCGGGCGCGTCCCCAGGTGGAGGATAGGGGAACGGCCAGGGGCTGGAGGCCCCGTCCGGGAAGCTAAACGACAGCCATGTCGCTGTACCTTACAAAATCTTCGCGTAGGTCACCGTGAGACACTTCAAGGTTGCCAAAGAGAGTGTGTGTTCGGCGAGTCTTGGCCTACACCTGCAACTATAAAGGAGATGTCTCCTAGTGACCTGTCCACAGGGTGGACGATGACCCAGAAGGACAACTCCTCGAGAGGATGAACAATGGGTCACATGTGGCCTAAGTGATGTGGGTCTACACTCCCTATTTTACACATACAAATAACTCTCAACTTCTCACACTTTGATATGATAGTCAATATTGTTTCTGCAAATTCCGAAATAGATGATCAGCAGCAAGCCACTGTACACAATTGTAAATGTAAAAACCTTACCTTTACAGCAGCTGTCAATTTTCCAGGTCCAACTTTATTCATATTGATTCCAACCACGGCAGGTCTATGACAAACGGCATCCGGTACATTGATCACGTCGATTTTCGTCGTGTCAAAAACATGCAACGTCCTTGTTGCCACTATCTCATTATCTCTGAGAATATCAACTCTATAAGTTCCAGTCTGCGTCAAGTTGAACTCTCCTTTGTAATTGTTCACGATGTACTTAACATGGTGGTTGTTGGGATCGCTAATTTCAATACGGTGGTTCTCACTGGGCAAATCGATGTAAGCTGTAGCTCCAATTTGGAAGTACTGGGTGGACTCAATGACGGTGCAGTGGAAAGGACTCCCTGCCACAGTCATGTCGTTGAAGGTTATGTTGACGTAATGGTCTTCAGCTGTTAAAGGAACGAAAGTGACGTCATATAAACCCCTAGCACAGGCTACCACCTCTGCCTTAATTGTAGTGTGCTGGGTTGAAACCACAAGCTCCAAGGTCCCTTCTCCTGCTTGTGCAGCATCCACGCTGAAGGTTACAGGTTTACCAACCTCAGCAGGGCCGATGTCCTTTAGGCTGATTTCGTTGATGGATTTTGTTATATCAGTCTTACGTCCCGGCAGGCCTGTTACGATTACTTTGCTCACGTCATACACATTGCAGCTGAAAGGAGAACCGATGACATGCTGGTCGTTGATCAAGATGGCTACGGAGTGTCGTCCTACTGTTTCGGGGACAAACCTGGCGATGTAAGTATCTCCGTTCACGATGAGTTTTGTCGGAATGTTTTTTCCGCTAGGGGCCGTTGCTATTACCTGAGGTTCTCCACCTAAAAGAGGTTCAAGTGAATAAAATTGGTTGATGAACGGTGCACGACAGTTGTTGCTGTTACCAATTATTCAAATGTTTTGCTGATAATGATTTGAAAACTTTTCAGATGCCTTACGTATGTCCAAGTTATTGAAGTAGTATCACTGCTGAATAAAAGAGACCATAAAGAGTTTCATCAAAGTGGGTTTGAAAGAGATTGAGGTACAAATATGTTACTGGTAAGGATGATGAGCTCTCCAAGAACGAGTATGAGAAGAAATTGTGACCCACATTAACAATATGCGTGATATATGTGCAGTTCAGTCTTTCGAAAGGATCCATATGTAGCATCTGCTAGGAAAGTGAAGTGATTTTTCATGATAAGAAACATAACAATAGATATGTGGATGGGAGTCACATATCTATTGTTATGCAATGGATATGTGGTTCCCAGTCACATATCTATTGTTATCGAGTATATTAAACTCGAAATGGAATATGTATAATATGTATAATTATGATCTGAATGATTCAGTAAAAAGTCACAGATATCCTCTTGGTTACTACACAACCAGGTAAAGGGTGGGATCTGGAAAGGAATATTTTCAGGGCCTCCTCGTAATGAGCAGATCAATATTATTATAGACAGTGCCACTTTTCAGTTCTCGAGCTGCACTTTGGACATAAAAGAACCAAAAAGTAAAATTGATACTGGTCCTGCAATGCCATGAAGAACTACGGGGATTGACAGATATGAATAAATTGACTGGGCACCCAGGACAGTAACAAATCATAGGCAACGAAAAAGTTGATGGGTGTTTGATACATAAAAGAGAAGCACATAGCCTTTATGAAGGACCGCATGATTGGTACGTTAACGGCTACTTTACTTGTGGGAAAAGTAACATGGATCACACTAGGCAAGTAATGTATAGTCCAGGCTGCAGTTTTTCCCGAAGACAAGACGGAAAAAATGACAAGTCAGATTGCTCCCATGCAGCAACGAAAGTTTGTCTCAACGGGCATTTGGCAATTATAGTGTTGAACGAACTGTTCGACGTTGGTATGTGAAATTTCGTTGCGGAGATTTCAGCCTCGAAGACGAGCCCCAAAGTGGTCGACCTACAGTAATTAAGTAATTGATTCGAATGATGCAGATGGCGCATATTTTAGTTGAATTGAACGAGTATTCACCTGGGGTAGACTCATGAAAACGAGAAAACTACTTCTAGAATGATTCTTTACCAGCTATTTTGATTTTGAGCAATCCTGCGAGAGTAAGGACGTTTTCAGCATTACTATTAGAGAATGTGCCTCGTAAGATCGGAATTGGTGAGATTGGATGAAAAATATGGTAAAACTCGAGATGAAAATGTTATTGGAACTGTTTGAGGTTTCGAGGTTCTTGGACCGATTTTGGTCGAAATTTTTTCCTGACGCTTCACCAGCGAAACTGTCTGGCAACTTTGTATTATCGCTTCCAAGCTTGGAAATATACCGTGTATATTCAGACTTTGGAAACCCGAAACCACGAACAGTTTCAAAAGAAAGCCTGAATTTCTACATTCAAAAAATTAATGGAACACAATTCTAAAAATTGTACCGGTTTTTATACAATAATGAAAGTATTATTTATCTTTGCCAGCTTCCATGGCTACTTCTAAGGGTTGCTCGTGAGAGGCTGGCAGTTACAGGCATGGCTGACGGGTTGGATGGCCTTGTTCATATTTCACTGCTCTCCCTGTAAATTTAGATCAGGAGCGAGTCTACAGAGGAGATGGATGTCGAGTTTACGACTCCAACTGACCTCCCTGTAAATTTATTTCAGGAGCGAGAGCTTCCCACCCCCCCAACTACTGTTCCAATTACCGAACTTAAAAAAAAAGGTTTGGTGTTGCAACGGCGTGGAGCGGCGTACGCAGAATCTGTCTCAGGTGGAGGAACAAACTCCCCATGAGCAGGTTAGCAAACGTTTGCGCTCAAGTGATAATTCACCAAAACCAAAGGCGGAAAAGCCCTGGACCTAACCTAACCTAACCTACAGGCATGGCTGAAAACTTTTCAAACTGCAAATCTGTGTATTACTTGTTACTCCTTCAATCTTGATTTCAGCTGGATGTCCTACTGCAGACAGTTCAATGCCGTTACCAGAAACTGGAACTCTAGGCTGCGTATTTCCTGGATTAACTTTGCAGTTGAACGGCGAACCTGGTACGGGCTGACCATTGAACCTGAATAAAAATAATTTCAAGTAAATGTGTGAAATATTTCAGGATTAATTAGAATATAATTTTTCAGTTCTTGGAGAAAATTTCGGGGATATGTATGAAAGAAGGCGAGAGGGTTGTGAACAGTAAACAGAAGTTAGGTTAGAAAACATTTGTGGACTAACCTGACACTGAGAGTATGCGTTGCAGCCTCGGTCGGCTTGAAGTTGACCTTGAACCTTGCATTTCCTTCGCTTTGTACGAAATTTGGAACATTTCTGCCACCCACAGCAACGATAATTTCCAAATTACCAGCTCCAGCTTGAGAAGCATTGATGCTGAACGAAACCGGTTTGCCGACTATTCCATCGGTTATGTCTGTAACCGTTACTCTGTTAGCATCGTAAGCCTTGATGAGGAAGGGACTTCCTTCTATATGGTCGGACTGAAGACGAACTTCAACACTGTGGTCGCCAACGTCGATTGGTGTGAAGGTAACGTCGAACTTGCCTACGGTGTTTGTTTGAGGTTGCACCTGTATATTGAAAAACAATTTCTTCATCTATGGAATCAATCGTGAACTCCTTTACCAATTCAGGATTGAAATAAAGTAGAAAACTCAGAAATAACAAACAGAAAATCATTACACTTCATGGCCATATCTAGGATTCATAACCTATCAAGTTAGTACTGCTTGGTAGTAAGCAGTAGGCTTTGACTCAAAGTGTGGTGGACAAATCGTAGTTTATCGACTATTCGCCGCATTAAGGCGTGAAAGTCCAACACACATTGGATACGAGGCGCTAATTTTATCTGTGTATTCACTGTTCAAATTTTCGTACCGGGCAACATTCCGTTTGGGAAAGTACCACAATGATAGATGTCGGTCTCTTCGGTAAGAATATCATGAAACACTACATGCGCTCCTTCCAGTTCTTGTGACGACTTTAGGGGCTTTTTGTATCTCCTGCGTGAACCTATCGTCTCTCCTGGTGGTCAACAAGAGTAGGAATTCCCTCCTTTACTGCTTCGTTAGCAGGTTGGATAGGAGCTACATAACATCACCAACGATGGAATATATGATATCTTAGAGTTTGAGTGGAGAGGACATCATGCTTCTTTTTTATTTCACACCATAGAGCATGCATTTTCGCCATTCATCCTCTTCATGTGGGCTATTACTTAGTATGCTTGCCCACTCGAAGTGTTCGGAGACATTGTAGTCATCAACAGTCGGTTTGGGTACCACCACCATATCTCTGACCTCTCCGAATGGTCGGTTGTGGAGGTTCCTGCCGCGTGTTCTAGGAACCAAGTATCAATTCTACCGGGTACTTAGTTCTGCGGACCAAAGTAGAGTTCTCCCTTCCAGTTGTACCTGGGCTGCCGGTCCGTACATGTACGTAGAGTACAAAGAAGATTTAACAGTTTCAGATTTTTGCGCCAAATAAGCCCTAAAGTTACATCCTCTGTAATAGTTCTGCACTTTTCCATATCCAACCATTTCATACATTTCCAAACTCACTATTGCTGCTGCTTTGCAAAGTTCTTTCGATAATTGTGAACGAAAACCATGCAAAATTTCACAAATGAAAGTGTCAACTAATGAACCCAATTCAAATTGGGTAGTTCCTGAACCTAATTAAAATTGGTTGTACAATGCTTTACCTGTGTTACTAAAGGTCGTCTAGCAGGTCCCAAAATCTCAACAATAGGAGGGTTTGGACTATCCACAACAAACGTGCAAGGTTTGCCAACTGAGACCTTATCCAGTGTCTCCGGGATTATGATCTTCGCAGCGGGAGACACGTTACATTTGAATGGGCTACCCGGAACGTCTTGGCCGTTGAATCTCAGATCTACGGAGTGCTCTGTAGCTTCTCTGGGTGTGAACGATATTGCGTAGGTGTGAGGACCCTGAGCTTGGGCAGATGTTGGAACAAGACCGCCATTTACGGTCACTTCTAGGTTTCCCGGACCTGCTTGGCTTGTTTCAACTGGAAAAATGAATCACAGAATAAAATTCGGATTCTAAACTACTCCAAACCACTCCTGGAAGAAGCTTACTGAACGTGTTTTGACATCAAGACAATGGGATGTTGCCAGTTGTGAATCAGGATTATTGCTGTTCTATAAGTTTTCGTTTTGAAGTTTAAAATCTGTTTAAATCTGTTTAAAATTTGTTTTTCCGGTAATCAGCTATCGCCCCCATACGAACCACAACTCTCAGAAGTTGAGAAACTTGTGGGAACTAAGGAATAACGAGGTTTTACCTTTTAATGTGTGATTCCTAACAGAGACTTTAAATGCGACTGCACTTTTTTCTTCTCGTTTGCGTACTTAATTTTATGAGAAAATGTTACTCTTCTACAATATTTTGAAAAAATTCCATCCAATTAGTCATTTCATTGGCGTTGATTGGTTTTGACTGGTCCAAATAGAATGATACCTTAGTAAATACAGCTTAAGTATATCAGTTTCAATAGTACGGTTCGACTTACTCTCCGTACAACACTCCATGATATACAGGACAATTTGGAAATGAAAGATCACCTCGTAGCATTCAGATACATGAAGGCGATCTTCGAGTCTGCTTCATTGGTCCTGCTTCCGAATATTCATACAACTGGTAACTTTTATTGGGTGTGATAATTCATTACTTAGTTTGCCGGCATTATCTGTGAATAGTGTTTCGAATTTATCATACGGAATTCATTTCATGGAGAAGGTTGAGATATTACAACTTTGCTTGCACAAAATCAACCTCCTCCAGGGTATCTTTTTGATTTAACTTCTTGATTCTGCTTCATCTCTCACTGAAAATGCTCGACTTGATGAACTTATAATGAAGGAATCCGAAGCTATGGTGATTGTTCATCTTGATGATACATTTTTGGATTTTTGTCGAATTCAGATCAGGTTCAATAGTTTGTACGGTTCAGCTAGTTTTCCGTACAACTACTGTATGAGAGACATGACAATTTGGATATTGAAGATTCTCTCAGTTACTCAGTTCTGAGTGGTACTAGTTGGATGAAACCTCAATAAACAGAGCGTAGAGCGTAGAGTTTCAAGAGAACGGTACAACTATCCGTACTGTTCTATATCAGATAGAACAAAATGAACATTAAAACTTTCCTAGTTGAGATGGTGCTGTAGTTTTTCTTTGGAAATTCCTTAGTTATTTTCTTGGAGTTGATTGGTTCTGACAGGTGAAAATTGAATGATACCTTAGTAAATACAGCTTACGAGTAGGTATAAGAGTTTCAAGAGTACGGTTCAGCTAGTTCTCCATGCAACTACTGTGTGACAGACAAAACAATTTGGATATTGAAGATGTCCTCGTCAAACTGGTGCTATTGGTTTTCTTCTTGGAAATTCCCTTCAGTCATTTTCTTGGTGATAACTGGTTCTGACTGGTTCAAGTTAAATGATACTTTAGTAAACAGAGCGTAGGTGAAACAGTTTCAAGAGTACGGTTCTACACACTATCCGTAAAACTACTCTAGATTGGATAGAATAAAATGGACATTAAAGAATCCCTTCTCAAGCTAGTGTTGCAGTTTCTTCCTTGGAAATTCCCTACAGTCATTTTCTTGGCGTTTATTGGTTTCGACTGGTCTAAATTGGGATACCTACTTCAGTAAATGAAGCTTAGGTACAACAGTTTTAAGAGTACGGTTCAACTAACTAACTCTTCGTATAACTACTCTATGATATACAGGTCAACTTGAAAATGAAATATTACCTCGTCAAGGTAGTCTATAGGTTATTTCTTGGGGCTTTCCCACAGCTGATAAGTGAATGCTCCCTCTTACTGAGACCCAGGATTACTTCCTTTGTTTTTTTCCATATCAATGTTATTTTTACAATTTTTGAAACACCAACCACCCTTATTGGTAAAGCATTGGGAACCATTGAATTTACTCGAATAACGATGACAGCCTCATCAAGGATTATACAGGGTGGTCAATGGAAAACAGACCACCTGAAATATTTTCAATCGACGTGCTTTTCTGGGTTTTGTCGAAGAAAAAACCTCCACTGAAAATATTTCAGCTGAACTGGGTCAATCTGTAGATTCATTTTGAGAAACTCACCTAAAAATGTAACGGCTTTGCCAACGATGCCAGTGGCTGCTTCGGTGATTCTAATGGCCTGCACGTCGTACACTTTTGCGGCGTAGGGACTACCAGCAGTAGGGATTCCACTGACACTGACGTTGATTCGGTGTTCACCAACCACCCTCGGTACAAATTCAGCCCTAAACTGACCGTTTCCTAGGGGCTGTACTTGAGTCGGTACTGATTGTCCGCCGGGTCCTAAGTAGTCGGTCAAAGGGTTGTTATGGCGGTTAAGGGGATTGAGATGTATAGAGGTTAGATGCGCCGGTGATAAATTAGTTGGGGTTTTTGATTTTCGGTGATTGTTTACATTCGACTTTTTCTATGGTTGCAGAAATGAAACTGAATGTTTTTTGTTTTGCCGTTAACCAGCTGTCGCACCCCTACGAACGACAACCCTCAGAAGTCGAAACATGTGCGAGCTAACGACTAACGAGGTCTTATCTTTTAATGTGTTTCAGAAAGTTACTCTGGATATCATCCTTGATTTCTGTTTTTAATATAACTATAATAATGAAATAGGGGTGCTGGTATACCTGCATATTGGTTGTAATGCTTGCTTATAGTCGAAGTTATCATTTAGCACAGTGAAATTAGCTCGAAAAGGGGTCCAGCAACATTTTTACTGGCAATTTTCTCACAGAATTCTTTGGGGGCATCACTCAGACTCGTTGATTTTTGTTTATTGACTAACTCGTTTATTTTCAATTTTACACGAAAAATGTTCGAAATAAATTATTTAAGTTTCCATAATTTGTTTCCCAAGATCGATGCTTTTCGATTAATACCCGAAAAAACAGAGGGGGAAAAATCTTATCATTGCCTTATCATGTTTATTTTCAATTTTACGAGAAAAATTGTTATGAACAATGTTGTTCGAAATCGAATTGCCCACAATTTTTCGACTTGTACCTGAGAAATTGCCAGTGAAAATATTTGCGATGTAAAATCCTAATTCAACTTAGCTAATTACATTTAAATTGATGTTGATTATACATCAATGAACAAAATATAAATGAAATATATGAAATGGAAATCACACGATTTGAAAAGTATAAATCGCTGAATACAAACAGAAACAGAAGTTCAGATACACATCGAAAGGTCAGTAAAATGACGGAATTTTCTATTCTTCTTTTGGAAATCATGGAGTTCTAGTAACCAGGTAGATATAAGAATAGATATGGTTAATGTAGCACTCCAGTCTAACTTAACTTTGTTTTTTATGAGAAAAGAGTTCATAAAAAATAATTTTAAAAGATTAATACAGTGTAACTACTGTAACAAGGCAAAGCTAAATTGAAAATTAATAGGTGATCATGAACTTTTTTTTCAATTACACGAAAGAAAAATGACTCTCGTTCAATTCAATGTTTATAGGAAAGTAGTTATTACGAGAAGTTTTGAATTCAATTGCTTTCTTCTTTGATTTGGAAAATTACCGCATTCGTTTTTTTGTATAAAGATGGAAAGTAAAAAGCCGAAACCTTCCTTTCCCAAAAATTAATCTTTCCTAAAAATATTGTCTTTTTCAATGTAACTGTTAAATTTTATAATACTTTGAAAATATCCCTCTAAATAACCATAGAAAAAAAACAAAAATTCTGTATCACAATTTTGGATTCTCGCATAAATTTTTGCATTAACAAGATTTATTCAAATTCCTTAATGGTACTCGTATTCAATTAGACATTGAGACGAGCGGCTGTTGCATCTTTGTTCTGGACAATTATGGCACAATTATTTAATTTTTTCTAAAACTTTCAGGTTCATTTCTTGTTTTTTCTCACAGTTGTGAATGATCGTCGAATATCTCAACCACCGATTCTCATTTATGAGGGAATGGCACTACGTGATTTCAATTCAATTAGGCATTTGTGAGTCAAATTAAAGAACGGCGCGGCGTTTCGAAATAGTCGATTAGATACTCGTTATGAATAATGGAATGTCGTTTCACAAGCTGGAGATTCTATAAAATGTGCTTATACCAAAAAAAATTCAAAGAATTTATCGTAACAGATAGTTAACTTGTTTTAATGGGAGAATTGCGAACTTGGTTTATGAGGGACTTCAATAATTACAGTAGGTTTACTTTTCGTTAAGAAGAAACGTAAAAAAATCTGTTTACAGCAGATATTTGATGTATTTCAATGGATTTATATATCATGAAGCTACTTTGCTCATTTGTTTCGACTCAAAACAATGAGGAATCATTGGCATTGGATTATTTCTGATATTTATTGATTTTTGGAAATATTCTACATGATGACCAAAAACACTGGAACAACTATTATTAACAACAACGAAGAGAGCAAAGACCTTTCGATCTTTGAAAGAACGCCATTAATTTCCGGTATTTATGACGCCTCAAGCAAAAGTCAGAACTATTCCAAAATATTTAAGTGGCATTTGGAATCAAGTAAGTCGACAACTCTTTGACGCAGACCTAAAGGCGCCAGTTCTGTCATTGAAATTACATTTTCTGATATTCCTAAAGAAACAAAGTAGCTGCAAATCTGGCGACCGAACCGTGAAATGTTCTGGACTAAACACTGACGAACACTTATGGTTCAATGTGGAGAAATACCTCACTGTTGTAACATTAAATAACCTTGATAATACCGTGCCTTTGTACCAACATTTAAAAGCATCGAATAGCCTCCATAGTGACCAGATTTATGGGCTCTTGATATATTATTAGAGAGATACGCCAAAACGTGGAATTTAAGAAACAAAATTAGACTTTTTAGTCTAAATGAGGTTTAAAATACCACATTATGACTTGGGTTCCTTGTTTCTTTGAGTGTTGAAGATCTAAGTTATCTCAAATTGATAGATTTTGAAATATATGATAGGGACTGTTCGCCATTATCAATTCGCTTCGATTAGAAATCTGTGTAGAAAATCTAGAATCCTCGGAAAACCATTAAAGAGTGCCTCATTTTGATTTTTCATTACTATATAAATTTTGATTGGGCTATTTAAATTAATTTTGCAATGTAAAAGAAAAAATGAAAACAAAAATGGAATAAGGCAGACCTATCCAACCAAGATTTAAACATTTTGAATAATTTCAATTGAAATAAACAAAAACTCGATTGTTATTATATTCTGTTTGTTTTGGCATACTTAACGGATTATATTCATTGAACTTCACCTGAAAAATAAGTAATAAAATAACCGATATTTCATTTCTCTTTGAATATTACTTTTCCTTTCATAATATATGAATGATTTTTGTAGTTGATGATTCTTTAATTAATTCTCACCACTTTGTGACTAATATTGTGTATGACCGAGTGAAATAACTTCACGTACCTACTACCTGATTAGTAACTAAATATTAAATCTCCTAGACATGCATTGATGTATTCCACCACCCAGTTGAAAAAATATATTTCTCAGTTCAATGTTTGTATACACAATGGACAATCCAGCACATAGAAGACAAACATCCGTATTCAAAAAAACTTAAAAGAGTTCTATTGTCAAGGATAAAACAGATGCTACAAATGCAATACGGATATATAAAGACGGCTCAAAAACCAAACAAGGCTTAGGATGTGGAGGGTACTCCAGATTACTAAGCCTAAGGATTAAGTGGGGATTGGGAAAAAATACCAGCCTATGTAGTTTTCATACTTTGGTATGTATAGCGCTTTATACACAGAAATTTGTATTCAAAACGATATGGGGATGTTCAAAGAAGTTGAAATCAGAAAACAGCAAACTGATATTCAATATCATAAGTCTGCAACGAAAAAGTTGTCTGGATGTTTTTCAATTGATTTCTATGTATTCAGGTGTTTTGAAAATTAAAAAAACACTCAAAACATTCCAGAACGTCAGGTTATTTCGCAAAACGTAAAATTGTATTCCAAAAAAGGGGGGGTTTATTGGCTAACTTGAAATCATAAATGTATAGATACAGTTCCATTCCCATTACTGTTTTTGAATGTATACCATTACTTTCCGAATGAAGAATTCAGCACAGGAGCGTATTTTCATAGATGCTTCAAAAAGAAGACTTGAAGCAGTTCTGCTTCACAATGGCAGTTTCTAAGCCTCCATTCCTCTCGGTCATTCCGTACACCTCAAGGAAACTAAAAGAACCTGGAATTGGTTCTTTGCAAACTCAAATATAAAGACTACGATTGGCAAGTGTGCGGTGATTGAAAAATCTTGGACGTGTTGCTCAGACAACAATCTGAGTTAACCAAATTCCTCTGGTTTTTGTGTCTTTGGGATAGTAGAGACCAAAACAATCACTGGACCAAAAAGTGTTGGCCTCCGAAAGAGCTCATGAAACTTTGGTGGCTCCTCATAAAGTTCTTCTATCACCGTTTCCCATAAAGCTGGGATTGATGAATTTGTTAAGTCACTTCCAAGAGATGGAAATTGTTTCAAATAGTTGATATCAAAGTTTCCAGGCCTCTTAGAGGCGCAGTTGAAGAAAGGTGTGTTCGTTGGGCCAGTATATTAGGATTATTAGTATGGTTCACATGTACTCGATTTAGCTCTTTTTGGTGACATTTTTCAGCCCTCTCCAAAAATTACGACCAAGGTGTCATTCGATTCGTATTTGAAAAAAAAACGGTTCCTTGATTTTAATATTTAGTTGCAAAAAACGATTGTTAATTAACAAACGCATTTTTTAGCAACAAAGAAATTTTCCCCATTTTTTTTCACTTAATTGTTTATAACTTTTGTAATTTTTATCGGCGCGTTTTTGGACCTTTCTTCAAACTTTCTAGGCAAAAATACGAATCGAATGACACCTTGATTTAATTTTTGGACAGGGCTGAAAAATGTTACAAAAAAAAGTACATGTGAACTAGACTATATGGCTGATCCACAATTTATCGCAACCATGTCGAATCCTTTAAGAGAAGGGTAGATTGCTCTCAAATAGTTCATATAAAAACTGTTTGGGAATGAAAAAGACTATATAAATATTACTGGAGTTTTTTCCTCGACATGTGTTTCGATCACCAAGTGATCCTTTACTTTGATCTTCCTCTTGAAGATGATCACTTGGTGATCGAAACACATGTTGAGGTGTTGAAATAACGGTTTGGTGTTGGGAAAAAACTCCAGTAATATTCATTACTACACCAAAGGTTCCAAACAATGTATCTATCACAAGTACGAATAAAAAAGACCCAAACTATAAACAAATCATCAAAGAAGCATTTCAA